GAGAACTTTGCCCCAGGATGAGAACGGAAATCGTCTGCCAGTGGTGCAGCTGCAGCAAGAGGCCCCATTGGTGAAAGCACACCTCTAGTTAAGAACAGTTTCAGGTTAAGAACGGACGTCCGGAACGATCTGTGTTCGTAACTAGAGGTACCATTGTAACTAGAAAATTATATTGATAGGCTTTGAGACCTATCACAGGGTTTGCCTACAAAAATAATGAACAGGTGGTTCAGGTTAACTGGGCAAGACAACTGACTTCTGATGGCATTTAACTAACCAAACCCAAAGTGTACTCATTTTTCCTCATAACCCTGGGAAAAAATGACAAGTGAGGTGCCGCAGGGTTCTGTCCTGGGCCTGTTGTTCAATGTCTTTATAAATGACTGGGATGAAGGAATTGAGGGGATGTTCATCAATTTGCAGAAGACACCAAACTGGGAGGGGTAGCCAGTGCTGCAGAAGACAGAATTAGGATTCAAGATAACCGTAACAGATTGGAGAACTCGGCCCAAACGATGATAATAATAATAATAATAATAATAATAATAATAATAATAATTTATTTATACCCTGGTTTCCCCAGCCACTCTGGGCGGTTTCCAACAGAATATTAAAATGCAATAATCTATTAAACATTAAAAGCTTCCCTAAACAGGGCTGCCTTCAGATGTCTTCTAAAAGTCTGGTAGTTGTTTTTCTCTTTGACATCTGGTGGGAGGGCGTTCCACAGGGCGGGTGCCGCTATTGAGAAGGCCCTCTGCCTGGTTCCCTGCAACATCGCTTCTCACAGGGAGGGAACTACCAGAAGGCCCTCAGCGCTGGTCCTCAGTGTCCGGGCAGAACGATGGGGGTGGAGACACTCCTTCAGATATACTGGACCAAGGCCGTTTAGGGCTTGAAAGGTCAGCACCAACACTTTGAATTGTGCTCGGAAATGTACTGGGAGCCAATCCAGGTCTTTCAAGACAGGTGTTATGTGGTCTCGGCGGCCACTCCCAGTCACCAGTCCAGCTGCCGCATTCTGGATTAGGTGTAGTTTCCAGGTCACCTTCAAAGGTAGCCCAATGTAGAGCGCATTGCTGTAGTCCAAGCGAGAGATGACTAGAGCATGCACCACTCTGGCGAGACAGTCTGCGGGCAGGTAGGGTGTCAGCTGTGAGGGCGGGTGACCTCTCCATCCCCCCCCCGCTCGCTGTACGGGTGGCTAGCCCCACCTCTGCGTCGCTCTGGTTGCCGGGGTAGGTAGCTCCGCCCCAGGTCTGTCACATGGAAAAAGGAGCAAGCTTTTCTCCTACTCTGGAGGGTAGGACTCATTCCAATGGTTTCAAGTTACAAGAAAGTAGATTCCAACTAAACATCAGGATGATCTACTCATTCCCAACCCAATGCTCAAAGTCTAGGTGGGATGGAGAGAGACCAGCCACTTCCTCTTTTGTGATTGTCCCATTATCTGCTGTTTTGCGATTTGACCAAAATTAATAAGTGGGTTTATTTAACAGCCCCCACCATCCAATTTCTCCCAAATAAAATTGAGCAGTGCCCCCAACTCTGTGATGGAGCCCAGCGGTGTTCCATTAAGGACAAGCAAAATAAAAGCCAAATACATGAAGTTACATAAAGACCATCTACATTAAATTAAATGACGGATATATTTGATCCAAGGTGGGAAGAGTGCACCCAATTGTTCTCTCCCAATTATTCTGTCTCTCTCTCTGCTTCTGAACACATTGTGAACAAGGGGTGTGACTCTTCCCCCTCCAATTCTCCAACAGAGAGAAGCTGGTCTGCCATAGAACGCATCTCCCAGTCCTTGTCTTCAGACCATTCCTTGACACTGGGGAACTCTGGGAACTGTAGCTCTCTAATGGAGAGTTAACAACCCTCAGCCCCCTTAACAAATCACACCTCCCAGGATTCCTTGGGAGAAGCCACAACTGTTTAAAGTGACATGATATTGTTCTAAATGTATCACACAGAGAGGGGTCTAATTTAGGTCCATTGATTCCAGTGGGTCTGATTAGGACTTAGTTGGACACCACCCAGACTCAGCTGACACATCCGTGAAGATTGTGACCTCTTGGGGATTGGGGTGTCTATTTTTAGAACATTGGCCACGTATCTTAGTCAAGGAGGAGATTGGCATGAAATTGCCCGCAGCCATCACAGAAGCAAAGTCTAAGAAAGGAGTGGCATGGGGGAAATGTAGAAATGCATGATGAGCTTACTCCATTGTGTAAGGATGGAGTCATCCAGATTTACACACTGTATCCGGAGGCTGGGCTTCAGTAGAGGATAAAAAGCACTTGCTGTTCCTGGAGCCACTTAATTCCTTCCAGCAGCGTCTCAGTGACCAATTGGGTAAGTCTCTTACAGCTGACACTAAGGAACTGCATGGTGGTGGTTATAACTAGTCAAAGCAGTAGTAGATATATCTTTCATCCTTTGGGCAAATCTGTTTTTAGATAAGACTGTAATAGTAGCATAATACCAGCAAGGCTATTTCCAAAAGCCTTTTTTCTGCTAACCATAAAATGTAGGGGTGGTGTTTCTCCTCAGCCTCATAGCACTCTACTACTCATAGTTGTACTGCTACTACTAGTAATGTTAGTGTTAATGGGTTGTATCCAATGCTGGTTCTATGTGTAGACCCACTGAAAGCAATGGACTTTGGTCCATTGGTTTCAATGGATCTACTCTAGCATTGGAGATGCAAGCCAACATTTCAGCTGTTCTTATAGCAGTAGGAGACAATCACCTTTATTGCTTCTCAATTAATTAGAAATATTGTGTTTCTTCTTGAGATCCTCCCCGCAAGCTCTGAAAGTTCTTCCCTAGCCCCCTGCAGATTATCTGAATACAGCTGGCTGGTGCCATTCAAATTATGCTAGGAATAGAATGACAGGGTGAATAGGAACTTGGATGAGGCGCACAAGATGGGGAAGGGCTCACAACTGAAATTGCATAAAGTGGAGAGCATCCTCTAAAAAGTCTCCAAATGGCCGCTTTCTTCTCCTCTCCTGCTCTCTCCCCAGTCCAGACCAAAATACCTGGAGTTGAAGCTCTAGGGTTGTCTGGAGGCTGGAGAACATGGGAACAAGTGCTGCTGCTGCTGCTGCTGTGCTACCCCGCACATCAGCTGTTAGGCGGGGAGGCTGAGCAGCCTAAACAAAGCCCTACTGCATCTCAGGTCTCTTCAGGGCTTCTTCCACCCTCACTGACGTCCTCTTTGGGCTCCAGGGAGGGTCTCCTCATGAGCCACGAGGACGCTCCAGCTTCCTCCTGCCATTTCTGGGTTTGAATTACCATAAATTATTTCTCAGCATTTCACATGTATGCGATCATGTGTGAGTCGATCATACGTAATTTGGGAGGCACCTGTATAATGCTGTCTAGATTCTGACTAAATATCAGGAAGAACTTTCTGATAGTAAGTGCTGTTAGATAGTGGAACCAACTCCCTCAGGAGGTTGTGGACTCTCCTTCCTTGGAGGTTTTTAAGCAGAGGTTGGATGTTCATCTGTCACAGATGCTTTAATCAAGATTCCTGCATTGCAGGGGGTTGAACGAGATGACCCTCAAGGTCCCGTCCAACTCTGCAATTCTATGATTCTATGTATTATTGAATTTACTACTGGCTTTTCACCAGTGGGTCCGAGGGCAGGTTACAACCATTGAAAAATGAGAAATTAAAAGCAGCTAAAGCAGACCCCAATCACAGGAATAGGGCGGTGGGCCCTGAAAACACACAACCGAGTGGTCAAAGGTCAGGGCAAAGAGGTGCTTCTTCAGCATTCACCAAAAGCTGAAGATGCCCTTCTTTGGGGAAGGAATTCTCCAACCTAGGAGTTGCCACAGAGAAGGCCCTCTCCCAGGTCACCACCACCCTGAATTTCTGAGAGCGGTAGAACTATGAGATGGAGCCCTCTACTGATTTTAACAACGTGGAGGGTTTGAGTAGGTGTTGGCTTTGGACTGCACTGGAGATGTCAAAATACCTGGGGCGTTGCATCCTCAAAGTAGCTTGTCATTACGTCAGTGTTCCGAATTTGTCAATGCCCCTTGTCCCTTGTGTAAGTCTTGCTAATTGCTCATCCTCCCACAGTCGCTAGTTATCAGGAACAGTCCCAATTTACATATTCAATGTATTTGGTGGAACATGTTCTTCCTTTTCCTTACAGGGGAAGAATGATTGGGGGAAATAGCAGGAAGATCTTAACATGTTTGCTAGGTCCGGTGGCTAAAGCTGCCATTTCCCAGGTCTTTTCCCCACCCCTCCGGATCTTTAGGAGTTAAATTCTGGGGGGTGGGGTGGGGGGGAAACACAGGGTTGTATCTAACATTAGGAACACTACTTGTGGACTCCTTGAAATTAATGGACATGATTACTGAGGTCCATTGATTTCAATTAGTTTTATCCAGTGTTAGGTCTACTGAGAGTAGAGCCATTGAAAATGATGGAGATGACTAGCTTAAGTCAATTAATTTCAATGGGTCTATCATGTAGTTGGATGAAACTCATTATTCCCTTGAAATACATCATCGATGTACAAAAGAGAGGACCTTCTTTGTGCTGGCTCCCAGATTCTGAAATATCCTCCTGGGGGAGTGATGCCTGTTGCCAATACTATGCTCCTTTTAGCACCAGGTTAAAACTTTTTAAAATTTCTCAGTCATTTTAGATCATGCTTTTATTAGTTGATAAGATAGTTTTATTCAACCTGAGTTTTATTGTTTTGATGTTATTATTTGCATGACTAACTTAGACCCATTAAATTCAATGGGTTGTATCCAATGTTAGTTGTACTCAGCATAGACTCTTTGAAATCAATGGATGGACCTTTGTCTTAAATCTTTGGAGAGACTTTGTCAATAATTGTAGACATACAACAAGCAAGGCAAATGGTTTAGATGTGTGTGTGTGATGGTATTTCTGAATGACAGGTGAAATCCATTCCTTCTTACGTGCAGGCTTTCTGGAACATCAGTAGAAATGGCATCATTCAACAACCAGCAGCAGTGCAAACAGGCAACCACCTTGCCACCTGCACTGTGCAAAACAGCACCAGAACCGTTGCCATGTCCTCAGCCAACACCATGTCCTCAGGAGAAGCCTCCATGCAAGGAGACACCAGTAGTGGTTGTCCCAACTCCTTGCCCTCAGCCAACACCGTGTCCTCAACAAAAACAGCCATGTAAGGAGCCACCAGTAGTGATTTGTCCAACTCCATGCCCTCAGCCAACACCATGTGAAGAGAAGCCTCCATGCAAGGAGACACCAGTAGTGGTCGTCCCAACTCCTTGCCCTCAGCCAACACCATGCCAAGAGAAGCCTCCATGCAAGGAGCCACCAGTAGTGGTCGTCCCAACTCCATGCCCTCAGCCAACACCATGTCAAGAGAAGCCTCCATGCAAGGAGCCACCAGTAGTGGTCGTTCCAACTCCTTGCCCTCAGCCAACACCATGTCCTCAACAAAAGCAGCCATGCAAAGAGCCACCAGTAGTGATTTGTCCTCAGCCAACACCATGTCCTCAGGAGAAGCCTCCCTGCAAGGAGACACCAGTAGTGGTCGTCCCAACTCCATGCCCTCAGCCAACACCATGTCAAGAGAAGCCTCCATGCAAGGAGCCACCAGTAGTAGTTGTTCCAACTCCTTGCCCTCAGCCAACACCGTGTCCTCAGCAAAAGCAGCCATGTAAGGAGCCACCAGCAGTGATTTGTCCAACTCCATGTCCTCAGCCATGTGAAGAGAAGCCTGCCTGCAAGGAGACACCAGTAGTAGTCGTCCCAACTCCTTGCCCTCAGCCAACACCATGTCAAGAGAAGCCTCCCTGCAAGGAGCCACCAGTAGTCGTTGTCCCAACTCCATGCCCTCAGCCAACACCATGTCAAGAGAAGCCTCCCTGCAAGGAGACACCAGTAGTGGTTGTCCCAACTCCATGCCCAGAGAAGCAGCCTCCCTGCAAGGAGCCAACCACTGTCCCATGTTGCCCACCTGAGGCAAAATGCCCACCCCCTTGTGATCAACAGCAGAAGAAGCAACCTTGCCAGTGGCCTCACCAGCAGAAGTAAGCAAGCATGAGAAACAACAACGGTGCAGGAAGTCAGCATGATCAACACGTCCAGCTCACAACCTGCAAATTTCAATATACCTCATCCTTTTTGTTTATTTAAATTCCTTTAAAAACCCTTCTGTTAATATATTTCCCATGTTGTTCTCCATATGATAATAGTAGTAAATAGCATAATTGCCACCAACAAGTTACATTTACATTGCTTCAAGGGGAAGTGTTTTGGAATTAGGCTGTCAGATTTGGCTTTTGGTGGAGATGCAATGAGCTCTTCATTTCTTCCTTCTTGGGGCTGGCCCTGGTGGACGCCTCAGATGGCAAAAGTTCCTCCCATTTCCCCTGATTTACCCAATGTAGCATGGTGCTCTCTTCTGCGATGGAGGACATTGTCCTGTTGTCAGTACTGAAGTAAAATTCAACTGTTAGTTTAGTTGGATTCTGTACAAAGGATAGGAGAAGCCATCTCATCCTTTCCTGGGTATCCCTGTTTCTTCAATATTTATTATTGTTTAATGATTATATTGCTGATCATCCAGTTCTTAAAATAGGGAAGACCCCTGCCATATAAGTCCCATCCTACCTAGAATGGTGAAATGAATACCAGTTGCTGGAGAATAGGTGTGGAAGAGGGATGTTGAACTCATGCCCAATTGTTGGCTTCCCTAAGGGATTTGATTGACTAGTGTGGGAATCAGGGGGCTGAACTAGGTTTGATCCAGCGGGGTTTTCCTTACATTCGTGAGCAATCCCATTTCCTGCATGTACTTTTCCTTATCCACCCACCCCAAATGAATAGTAGGCAAATAGCGAGGACTGTTTCTATCTTCATTAAATACATCCTTATTGAGATGTTGGCAGAGAACGTAATAATCAGAGCTTCTCATCTGAGGCGACACATTAAACTTCAAAAAGAAATTGTTCCCAGTGATGCCCGGGATTTATTTTACTGTGAATTTAATTAAGGTAATTGACACAAAAGGAAGCGGATTTTATTGGATGGCTTTTGTGCCATGATTGCGAAGGGGTGATCATGGCATCCCCAGGAATCTGATGACATGTCCCAAATCTTACTGTTTATTATTCATCCGTCTGTATATTCTTCTGGGATTAAATGGATTGTTCCTAAATCTCTGAACTTCCGAAATACAAATAAAAAGCCTCAACATGAATTTGAATCTGGAGATTTGTTTTTGGTGGGGAATATGACTGTATGAAGGGCAGTATAAAAATACCTATATAAAATAAATTATATGCAAAGAAAGCCTTCCTCAGTCCCTCCAGAAGATTCCAACTTGGGCAAAACTTCTTCTTTTTTAAGAAAAGCTCAACTTTTCATTTCTTGAAATATGACAAGCCTACTGTTTGGACAAGGTCACAATTATTGGTATAACAATTGGTTTAGCACCACATTGACGCCAGCAAACATTAGAGGGAAGGGCTGTACCTGAGTTACAGCCTGCTTTGCATGCAAACGGCTCCAGGTTCAATCCTTGGCACCTCCAGGTGAGGGCTGAGAAGGGCACCCTGCCTGAAACCCTGGAGAGGCACTGCTAGTCAGAGTAAACAATATTGGGTTAGATGGAGCAAAGGTCCTGCTTTAGTATCAGGCAGCTCCCATGTCCCAATCAATGTCAGCCACTATAGCCAATGGTCAGGGATGGTGGGAGTCCTTGTGAAAGGGGAGAATCTGCAAAATGGAAATTTCGCCCACACGTTTCCTTGGTCCCTTCATGATGCAGCTTTGCTTGCACCAAAGCTTGCACATCACCATGTGGGGATAAGCATGGTCAACTGCATGGGGAAGTGTGGAGAAGCAGAGTGGGTAGCATGGGCAAGCAGAGTCAATTGCTTGGGAATAATACAATCAATGGCATGGGAAAGTGTGGTGAAGCATGGACAATGGCAATATACAATTGCCTTGTGCCAATAGCCTTCTGAATTGTTGCCAGTGGAAATGAAAGGGGAGAGATTCAGTTGCCAAGTCTTCAGTTATCTTGACATTTCTTGGGGGTTACTTCACTTCTTGGGGGTTACTTCACGGTGACAATTTGCCAAGTGGAAAAAGTTCTACCAGGCCCCTCAACGCCAACCAACCAAAGTCCATAGCAAGGCCAAAGACGCTATCCGAAAAAAGGGTGGGAGATCTGCGGCACGAGGCTGAAAGGGAAGCCTCAGAGTTGCACCGCGGCTTAAATCGGCCCCGGCCACACACCCAAGCGACCCGATTGACTGTCTGGCGACATGACATGGCCAGGGTCTCTCCCAATGGGACACGAGACACCGTCCCACCCCCACGCTGAGGCAGGAGGAGGCTAGGTGGCCCGACAGCAACCCAGCCCCAACCCCAATTTATTACTCCAGTCCTGGATTCCTATCAACCCCTATCATCTCATATTCTCCTGATGAAACACGGGAGGCGAGAGTGTGGCGGCAAAAGTTGCTTTGTCAAGAGCAAAGGAAGAAAGCTGACAACTGGCTTCTTCGCTTGTGCTGGGTTCCAGGAAGACTCCACCGAACTACCCAAACCTGCTGAACCACTATGTCTTCCAAATTCTTAATTGCATCTCCCTGTCTTTCTAAGAACGGGCAAGTATGGACAGCAATTCTTGCATTTTGGCTTGAGAGACGCCTAGCCTCTTAAGCATTAGGCATAGCAGCATTAATTGCTTTGCACAGCATCATTAATGGATATAGGCCAGGAGTTCCCAAACTGGGCAGTAGAGCCCCAGGGTGGCTGTGGGGTTACCCGAGGGAGGTACTAAGAGGCAAGAGGGCAGCAGGGGATGCCGTAATAATAATAATAATAATAATAATAATAATAATAATAATTTATTTATACCCCACCCATCTGGCCAGGCTTCTGCAGCCACTCTGGATGGCTTTCAACAAAATATTAAAATACCGTAATGCATCAAACATTAAAAGCTTCACTAAACAGGGCTGCCTTCAGATGTCTTCTAAAAGTCTGGTAGTTGTTGTTCTCATCTGGTGGGAGGGTGTTCCACAGGGCGGGCGCCACTACCAAGAAGGCCCTCTGCCTGGTTCCCTGTAACTTGGCTTCTTGCAGCGAGGGAACTGCCAGAAGGCCCTCAGAGCTGGACCTCAGTGTCCGGGCAGAACGATGGGGGTGGAGACGCTCCTTCAGGTATACTGGACCAAGGCCATTTAGGGCTTTAGAGGTCAGCACCAACACTTTGAATTGTGCTCGGAGATGTAATTGACTACCAGACTTTGAAAAGCTGCTTTGAAAAGCTGCTGGATCAAGTTCATATTTTATTATTTTTTAATTAATTAAACTGAGTAGTTTTCACTGGATTTTGAATAAATGTGCAATTAGTTGCTACTGTTAGGAATTTGGTTATTATATTCTTTAGTGGGTCATGCAAGCCACTGTTCTGGGTAGGGGAAGATGCACCAGGGATGAGTTGAGCAATGGCCAGAGGCCCTTGGCAGAGTAATACCAGCAAAAAATGTCCTCCCTAGATTAAATGTTCTCCCACCAGCAGCCTGGATTGGATTGTTAAGATCGCAGAAGGGAAGGTCATCCCTAGCAAAGATTTGTCTGGTGTAAAGAAGTATATATCCTTCAGAATATCTAGATTTATTGCTAAGCCTCTACAAATCCGTGCTATAAAACTTAAAGCGGGTATGGGAAATTATTTACCCAGTGCTTTTTTCCTGGGGGGACGCAGGGGTATGCATAGCCCTAAACATTTTGTGAATCTTGGTGCTTTTGTCCATTTGCTGTATTTATTTTTCCGGATTTGAGCTATAAAATGGTGGTTTTCTTGAGTCAAAATGAGAGTACCCTTAACATTTATTTTTAGGGGGGAAAGCACTGGATTTATCCTTTAAAGATAAAGGAGCAGGAATGTAAATCTCTATTATTGTTATTGTTGTTGTTGTTATCTGCTAAAACACAATAAACTAACTCACTGACTGGCTGAAATAATGTCTGTATTCTATGGAGCTTACAGAATTTTCATAGGCAATTTTTGTGTTTCGGGAATATATATATATATGTATATAGTCCAGTAGCACCTTAGAGACCAACTAAGTTTGTTCTTGGTATAAGCTTTCGTCTGCATGCACACTTCTTCAGATACACTTTGTTTTTTGGAACAGAGAGGAAGCTTTCAGGTACCCTGAACGTTTCCCCACGGACACCACCCTGCCCCATAAACGTACCTTCTTTCCTCCAGTATGTCTATAGTTTACTATCTGCTTGGGCACCAAATTTGGCACATAGCTGTAAATTTCCTGCATTAGAAAGGCATTAGTGCAGTTGACTGCTGAGGACTCTTCTGGCTCCATGATTCTAGGATCTCTGACTGCACATCGTTGGGTGCTGGGATGTGAGGAATGTGTGAAATGGATGGAGCATGTGCAAAAGATAAAGGATCCCTGGACGGTTGAGTCCAGTCAAAGGCGACTCTGGGGTTGCGGCACTCATCTCTCTTTCAGGCCAAGGGAGCCGGTGTTTGTCCACAGACAGCTTTCTGGGTCATGTGGCCAGCAGGACTAAACTGCTTCTGGTGCAATGGAACACTGTGACAGAAGCGAGAGCGCATGTAAACGCCATTTACCTTCCCGCCGCATTCGTACCTATTTATCTACTTGCACTTTTGAACTGCTGGGTTGGCAGGAGCTGGGACAGAGCAACGGGAGCTCACTCTGTTGTGGGGATTCGAACTGCTAACCTTCCGATCAGCAAGCCCAAGAGGTTCAGTGGTTTAGACCACAGCGCCACCCACGTCCGGAGCATGTGTAGTACCTGATCCTTCACATAATAGGGGAGAGTGGGAGAATGGTATAG